TGTCCTTTAGACGTTTCTTCTCCAATGTTACAACACTTCTTCTCTAGTCGGATAAGAACTCTTCTGTTCTAGTCTAATACAACCTCTGCTAGTCTCTGTCCGACGTTAAACTCTTATGACTTGCCCTCGGACTGAATAGGGAATACCTTGTCGAAGGGTAATTCCGCCCACTGTTACTCAACGAACATGGGAATACGTGTCTCCCTCAAACAATTCGTTTATAACGCTGGAAACCCCACCTCTAGACTTTCAATTCCGGGGTAACTATTTCCTAGGCTTCGCTGCCTAGGAATTGCTATCCGCTGTATAGCAATGGATGCGTTCTGATTCCAAATATTCCGGCCCTAGTCGGCACGCCATCTCATATGATACACTTTATAGAGATGTTAATGTCTGCCGGAGCCGATTACAGCGGCCTCGCGATCAAAGACATGAACCTTCTTCGCCCGCTGGAGCAGTGGGGTCTTGGGTTCGAATCGTACTTGGGGCATGGATGTCTGTGAGTAGGTAGTTGCCTTGCGACTGGCTGATCCCCCGTGCGAAGAGTACTACCTATAGTCCATTCGCGGAGACGAGAGAGTTAGCGTAAACAAAGCAAGCCCCGCGTCGCCACAGCTGACAGCAAGGAGTGGACAAAGCGCGCAGTTACTTCAGTGTACTCACTGCATTCGGACGCACGTTAACCTGCATTCAGACTGAAGAGTGAACTTTGGACGCCCTGCAACGATACACGCATCACGTGATGGCTGCATGATTTCATTCTTTGAGCGAAGGAGATACCGCGTGCATTTGTTTACGAGGACTCTCTCGTCTCCGCGAATGGACTGTAGTTGCGTATGGGATTAAGAAACTGATAAGCGGCCAATGTCAAATGGCTGTAGAGCCATAGCGAGACAGAGAGAAAAGAGAATTGTCTACCGGGGTAGCAATGTCGGTGGGGAGCTAAAATGGGGAAGGCATATGACTTACTGTATGCTCACAGAGAGGAGTAGTGGGGGACTGTGCCCATTGACATCTGTATTCCGAACGAATAGTCCTGTTTACTTTATGACGACTGCGGGAGAAAGGTAAGAACAAGTCCGTTGCCTATATATCGGTAGCGAAACTAATGATTACTTGTAGGTCTGTTAGGAAATATTAACCGTTAATTGCTGTGAGATATATTAATTTAGTGTGACGCAAGGCTTTTGCTGTTGCTGCTGCAGATTTGTGATTTATTCTTATCGTACGTGAAGAGTCCTATCTATTACAGCCGTGTGGTCTGATAGTTCACAGAAGTTTCGGTTTATCATACTGTCTCCATCTTCATGTTCAAGAATAAGACGAGCTGCTCAGCCTACGTTCAGCTAACTCATATGTTCTTGGCATTGAAGCCTGTTTTGATATACATTTTTTACCACACTGTTGTGTCTCTGTGGGCTTGAAGTGTACTGCTCGTACAGCGAAGACCTTGCCTTATCCAAGTTCAGCTGGAGAGCAGGGTGGTATACGTTTTGCTGCCCAAGATAGGAAAAAAATAGCGTTATAGTCGGCCATACTCTGGGTGACACTGTAATCCCCGACCTCTGCGTTCTCCACTTAATATTAGTCGCATATCGTGTTCAGTCTCCTTTTGCAAAGGACAGATAAACCGTGGGATGTCCACATGATTGGCGATGGCCTATCAGACTCCTTTTTCTAGATGCCGGAGAGTTGCAGCTGGTTCCGGCAGGTCCTTCTCATTGACCACGTTCTCCTGAGTGGCGCGATGTAGTTGGAACCGGCAGTGCTGGCTGATGTATCATTGTCGACTCTTCCTTTTTACCAATGACCACATCTTCTCCACGAGAGCTTATTATCTCCCTGTGGTCAGTGGATGTATGGGCTGATGTCTCATTTGACTTGGGTTCCGAAGTAACTGTTTGGCAGCCGGAAATTAGGAAGAGTTCAACCAGCGTAGTTTGAGTGCTCGTGAAGCATTTCGAACAGCATATGGCAGTGATATCAGACAGGCGGTAGATCAGTAATTTCTGTCGTTATGTAGACATATCCCATGGACTGTTAGGAATTAAGGAGTTTGATGTTTGTGCGAACTCATTATCTTGTCAGCGATAATTGCGGCACCAGAGTCGATAGACATGGGGCAAAGAACTTATTCGTATACATTAATACCGTTTACTTCCCTGGCTAGTGTAATTCCCGTTGAAAATGCATTCGTCTGTGAAATAAACTTTCGTAGCTGTATCGCCTTACGTACTCACGTATTCCACCGTGCCTGTCCTTTACATTAAAAGAGTTCTAGTAAATATTGTCCAAAATATACCATTGCCGCAGAACAGCATTGAGAAATATTAACCGAGCTGTTTACTACGTTATTTAAGCGTTTTTCTCGAGGTCTCCCTCCTCCCTGATCGCAAGTAAACATACCTATACATACTGCTTTTATCATTACAGATGTGGAATTATACCGATTAAATTTCTTACCGAATGGTACATCGAGCCCGTCTTGATGATTAATGCCATCAATCAGACACTTCGAGTAGCTGCGTCCTCTGTGAGCGGAAACAAATCAAACTTGCTTTTTAGACGTTTTTTTATTGCTAATGGGGTGGGACTAAGTCCCTTGTACTGCGGCCACTTCTGGCCTATTGTACCAGCGTCAGATGATAGGTGAGGGTGATTATGGAGCAGTTGGTGGAATGAAGATTGGCAAGGGAAACCGAAGTACTCGGAGAAAACCTGCCCCAGCGCCACTTTGTCCACCACAAATCCCACTTGACCAGACCCGGGATCGAACCCGGGCCGCCGCGGTGGGAAGCCAGCGACTAACCGCTTGAGCTATGGCGCGGCCCATTTTAGACGTTCCTTACCAAAAGAATTCCTCGTGTGAAGTGCCCCAGTAGCAGTGCCTATAATGTTGAACAATTCCTTCAAATTCGCTATGGGAACATTCACTAAACGTTGCCGAGGAACACTCATTGCCATGCATATTCATCCACAATAAAGCCTGGTTTGCATAAGACCTTGACTAGACTTTTCCTTATATCCTATACACCGTTTCACAGATATTGTTGAAATTGGGCGCGGAAGACTTCTACAAAGGATGTCGGGTAATTCCGATTTCTGTCCATGATAAAGTCTAGTTTACATAAGGCTTTAAGTGGACATTTCCACGAATCCCATAAAGCAATCTACAAATACTGTTGAAATTCGACATGGGGGACCAAATTTGTAGCGTAGTTCCGATATCCAGCCATGTATATCCTTTAAGCTAATTTACATAGATTCTGCCTAAAATATCTTTGAGTGTTATGTCACAGCCTTATAATCAGCCTTCTGGAAGAAAAGTCCCATGTGATGCTTCTACTTATCACCGTTTTTACGTCGCAAAATTAATACAAACCGTCGCGACAGCGATAACATTTATAAATAATGTTGGTCCTGATCATGCCACACTCTCATAGATATTTCGGACGGAGTACATGTCCATATTGACTTTTCTGTCTATTCGATAAACCGTTTTAAGATTTTTTAAAGATTCATATGGGATATTTCAGGAAAATTTGTCGGTAAATCTCGATCTTAAGTCGTCTTGATCTGTAATAAAATGTGGTTTACATAATGTCATAAACGGACATTACATATATTCCATAAATCGTTCCACGGTTGTTGTTGAAATACTGTATGGAAGACTCACCAATTTGATTGTCAGCCATATTCAACCTTGAAGAAAGCAGTCTTCTGGGCTTTGGCGCCGTGTATATGTGGTGTTAACCGACGTTTCGGAGGAACGTATCGCCCCCATCTTCAGGGTTGAAGAAAAAGTATAGGTAAATCTGCAAGCGACAACACCGTGAGACACGGTAACGCAGACTGAAGAGGATACCGTTAGAGCAGAGAGGGAAGGGGANTCTTACATATTGAACCTTGTTTACAAAGGGCCATAAGTGGAAATTTCCATTTGTCACATTAGCTCTTCAACAGGTTTTATTGACGTTAACGAAAAACCTTCTTTCCTCTTGCTATATACCTTATAGCAGGGGTCACCAAACTTTTCGAAACGCGGGCCACATTAGGTAATTCAGCACTTTCAACGGGCCGGATAAAATGAGAAATTAATAACTCTAGGTATATGAGTTTTATTGAAAACACAGAATTTCATAAACTAAATACAAAGTACGTGAGAATAAATTATCGTATATTAATGACAACAGACAGTAGCACCAAATGCTCATATTTTTATCACAAATTATAATAAAACAATTAATGTGAATGATGGAACTCTTTTTGCATTCTTAAAATCTGATTAAATTGAGGTGATGATGATCTGTTACAATTACACTGCACCACTGCAAGAAGTCTTGTGCACAAGACGGCTAGTAACGAACTGCTCGCGCTACCTACATTGCCACGAAGTGACACTGCCGATCGAGGCCGAACAAGTACGAAGAAATACCGCGCAGTATGCGGTCCAGAATTAGTAAAATTGTGAATAATATTAATATTAACATAATATGGAATGTTCTGCCGTGGTGACAGGGGGCGTGGAGGTATCCCGCCGCTGCCACCAGGCCGTTATGTTGCCAACCATCTTGTTATGTCTTAGTGAGGGCTCAGGTAAATTTACAATCACTGACGTATCTGCCGCCTTGGCTTGAGTTTGCAATTCTCCTGGAGGATTCGGAGGGAGGCTGGAGTCGGCAGGGGAGACGATAACGCTTGAGGGAATGCTAGGTTCAATTAACATCACAGCGCATTTCTATCCTACTCTATTCACCTGTGTCGCTATATACATAATATATACACCATTTGCCGACGTTCGTCGGTTCGCATTACATGTGGGTTATTATCCTGTAGCACACACATTTTCACTCCTGTCACCCTGCTGTTGGGTATCCTATCCCTCTATCTCTCTTTCTCAGTAAATCTAGTCCATCTAGTCTTCACTTTCTCTCCCTGGGGTTTGCACTTTAATATTATCACACTTAATGTTCATGGCTATATGAAGTAAGTCTACTTACGTGAGCTGAGGAGACAGGCCGCCATCACCAACCAGCAACTACTCATCGCCATCACTCTCTCGGCGATAGCCTACGGCTGAACTCTGTATCAATTAATAATTAAAAGTGTTCTGATTTATTCCTCAAGAGTTTATGTACCGTCTTTTTGCTGACTCGCTGGGTTCCGGGGGTGTATTCGGCCACCCATCCTGACGTGATTTTGGGTTGGTGTGGCCAACTCATTGGCTGTTTATCGAAAGGGGGTGGCTCTTTCAGGTCTACCGCCCTCTCCGACTCGGCGTTTTCCTCATGCCATAGTTTTTATGACCCACTTCATATAGCTTCTTCCTCAATGTCAGCGTTATTACGCTGTCGCGCTAACATTCTGATTACGAAGCTATTGCCTGTTACACTTCTTTGCAAACCCAAGCTTCCTGGTACGTTTCATTATTTCTATTTCTTAATCTTAAAGTCTAGATACCCTTATTCCAAATTTACCCCAAAAAACATATCTACTTGTACATAACCCTTGGGCCATAACATGGAATATCAGTATATTTTAAACACAATCTTAATTAAAGAATTTGGAATCTATGAACAAGTATTTTTTACCAGTACTCAATGGAAAATTAGTTCAACTGGAGCATTTCTGCACAATTCTTTCGCGGGCCGTAGTTTGGAGACCCTTGCCTTATAGGAATGCTTGTTATGCTGATAGCAAGTCCAGTTCGCGGTACTTGTTTATCCGTGCCTGCCGTATTACAGAGGCAAACAATTCTCTATGATCAAGCAGTTGTAACTAACTAAGCTGCGCCATAGTTCAAGCGGTTAGTCGCTGGCTTCCCACCGCGGCGGCCCCGGTTCGATCCCGGGTCTGGTCAAGTGGGAAGTTTGGTGGACAAAGTGGCGCTGGGGCAGGTTTTCTCCGAGTACTTCGGTTTCCCCTGCCAATCTTCATTCTACCAAATTCTCCGTCATCATAATCACCTGGGGCAGGTACAATAGACCAATAGTGGCCGACGTGCCGAGTAGACCCAACTGGACTCCACCCCCCACAATGCGAATTTAAAAAACAAAAAACTAACTAACTCAACGGAGCAGCGTCCTTGAGAAGTTAATAATCGTTCAGATGGGCAAGAAATTCCCGGCCCTTTGTGGAACCTGCAGTTTATTAATATGAACAGGAGTTTACCAGTGGCCCTACCCTGGACCGCACCCTCACGTTAATTTACATTTCAATATATTCTTTCATCTGCGCCTAGGTCTCCCAAGTTGTCTCTTTCCTTTAGTTTTTTGAATAGAATTTTGTGTGCTTTTCCAATCTCGCCGTGATTGCGACGTGCCCTGGCTATCTCATCGTCCTTGACTTGCTTAACCTGATGAGGTATGGTGAAGGGTACAAATTCAGGCAGTTATAATATGTTGTATGTACGGCATACACGTACCAAGTCACCTGCTGGAACACGTATCTTTACTGGTTTCCCGTGAGACAGTTTTGTGATGCGGTGTATAACCTGTCCGGAAATTTCCTTTGTATATTTTTGTCGTGTTTTACATGGGTATGAAACTTGGCCACTCGCCCTAAGTGAACGAGGTGATTTTTTTTTTTAATCTTGGCACATTTTTGTCGTTATATGTGCTGTAAATTACGTCACGTGAAAATTGTTGTATCGTGAATACGAAAAGGTTACAGAACAGGAAAGGTTAGAATAGGCGATTCCGTGTGTGTGTGTGTGTATTTGAGTGTATTCGAGAGAGGGGGGGGCAGGGATGGTGAAATGGTTAGGTGCATTAAAGGACGAGACTGCACACGGAATAGTGGACGGCGTGGTACTGGCCTTCCTTGACACTTCTACAGTTATTCACCCGATGAAATTGCGTCTTGTCTCAGAAGCTTCCCTTGCACTCTGTCGTCACCTGCGTGCTAAACCAGTACCGGTAACATGTCCCTGTGCTTAATTAATTAAACACTACACCATGAAGGCGTATGGATGAGCTGATATATAGATCCGCATTTTCTTGACCTCGGCTCAAGTTGGAGATGTGTGGTCAACTTCACGACCTGATCGCTCTACCCTCGGGGAAAGAACCCCCCCCAGCCCACGGATAGGAGGCTGGGTGGGCCCGCCGGCCAGTCGCTATCCAGTCTCCCGTTTGAACATGTAAGAAAAGGATTTTCTAGATGTATTTTTGTTAGTCCCACTCTCGAACTCCAAGTTGGAGGACCACCACGACAGCTTGCGCATTACATTGTCAGTTGTTCTTCCTGGTTGGACACCGTTTCCTCTCTCCGCAGCCTACCCAACAAACACATTCGCCCGTTTACTTGTAAGGTTGTCAACTTTGTTAATTTCCCAACGGTCGATCCTGGTTTTACTTTTGCTTGTCAGTGTCTTGGTGTCCAGAGTGAGGTATTTCCATGAGGGTATCCAGTTATAATTTTGTACGCACTTATTGTTTACTTCATATATGCCATTCATGGTTGCCAAGTTCCAAACCAGGTTGAAGAAAATTACAGGATTTCGAAAGCGCAGACCCAGATGGGATTTGGAGAAGTTATATGCTCAAAGACAAAGCGTGCAAGAGACCCTAGAAGAGAAACTCGGTGCAATTGAAGGTGAAAGCGGAAATGCTGAAGCGCAGTGGAACAATATAAAAGAATGCATGTTAGATACTATCAGTGATTTGGTTGGTAAAGTTGAGAAGATAGCAAGAAAACCATGGGTTACACAGGAGATGATGAGTAAAATGGAGGAGCGAAGGAAATGGAAGAATGTCAACAATGAAGAAGGCAGGAGGAAATACAGGAGACTGAGGAATGAATTGAAAAGAGCCACGGACAGGGCCAAAAAGGAATATCTTGAGAAGATATGTAATGAGATTATGGAATTTCAAAGAACAGGCCGTTATGATTTGATGTACATGAAGACAAAAGAACTAGGATGGAAAGAGAATCATGGGATTCAAAATGTTGGCATCGAAGACTCCCAGGGGAATAGAATAGTAGATCAGAGGCAAGTGCTGAAAATTTGGGAAAATTATATTTCAGAACTATATGATCGACCTAATCGGCCAGAAACCTTAGAAGTTGAACCGGAAGAAGAAGTAGATACAGACGAGAAAGGACCATATATTTTACAAAGTGAGGTGGAAAAAGCTATCAAGGAAATGAGGAAGGGAAAGGCTACAGGAGATGATGATGTACCTGGAGATGTGCTCAAGTTACTGGGAGAAGGTGGTTTGAAAACACTGACAAAACTAATGAACACCATATATGAAAGTGGAGAGTGGCCCAAGGACTTTACAGAAGTTACAATGATTGCCTTAAAGAAAAAGACAAAAGCTACAAAATGCAGCGACCATCGCACAATAAGTCTTATTGCACATACAGCAAAGATAATAGCAAAGATACTTAAAAGAAGAATTGAAAGGAAAATAGAGGATGTACTTGGAGAAGATCAGTTTGGATTTAGAAGAGGAAAAGGAACCAGGGATGCAATTGGGATGATGAGAATTATAGCGGAACGAACTTTGGAGATAGATGAAGAACTGTGTGTTTGCTTCATAGACTGGCAGAAGGCATTTGACCGGGTAAACTGGACCAAATTAATGCAGATCCTGAAAGAAACAGGTATCGATTGGCATGAAAGAAGATTGATTAGCAAATTGTACATGGATCAGAAAGTTAGAGTACGACTGGACAGGGGGGAGACAGGAAGTGTGCAGATTGGAAGAGGAGTTCGACAAGGATGCTGTTTATCACCAATTCTGTTCAACTTGTACAGCGAATGCCTTACCAAGGAAGCTCTGGATGGGCTCGGTGACTTCAAAGTAGGAGGGCAAATTATTCAAACTGTGAAATATGCAGATGACCTTGTGTTAATGGCTAAGGAAGAAACTGTGCTACAGGGCATGATTGATAGACTAATTGAAATTGGAAGGTGCTATGGCATGGAAATGAATGTGGAGAAAACAAAAGTAATGAAAATTTCGAGACAACCAACCCCAGTCACAATAAAGATAGACCAAAAACAACTGGAGAATGTGAAATGTTTTAAATATTTGGGTAGCTTGTTAACAGATGATGGAAGGTGTACTAGTGAAATTAAATCCAGGATTGCCATGGCAAAAGCTGCATTTAGCAAGAAGAAGAATCTTTTTACCAGCAAATTGGACTTAAATTTGAGGAAGAAACTAGTGAAATGCTACATTTGGAGCATAGCTCTGTATGGGGCTGAAACATGGACACTTAGGGCAGTAGATCAGAAACATCTGGAAAGTTTTGAAATGTGGTGTTGGAGAAGGATGGAGAAGATCAGTTGGACCGATTATGTGAGAAATGAAGAAGTGTTAATTAGAGTCAGTGAGCAGAGGAATATCCTACACGAAATAAGAAAACGGAAGGCTAATTGGATTGGTCATGTTTTACGCAGAAACTGCCTTCTAAAAGAAGTTATTGAAGGAAAGATAGAGGGGCGGATAGAAGTGGCAAGAAGACGTAAGAAGATGCTGGATGACCTTGGAGACAGAAGAGGATACTGTCATTTGAAGGAGAAAGCTCTAGATCGCATTAAGTGGAGGAACTGTTTTGGAAGAGAGTGTGGACCTGTCGTCTGACAGATTACTGATAATGATGATGATGCAATTCAAGACAAGTCACGTTGGCCTCAGCAGTAGCATCGTGTGTGTAATCTATCGTGGTCTTGTTTGTTTGATTATTGCAGTTCCGAAGTACGAGATCCATGACGTCACTTCGAATCATTTGTTAGCAGTTGCAGTATTATAACGATACCCTTGACCACTCTTTATTATTTTTTTCTTGGAGTATTTCTAAATAAATGTTTATGCAACGTTTTCAGATAATTTCGAAGTTATTCATTACAACATTTATATCTTCGCCCACAATACGTCCGTGGCTGTCGAAGTTCCTGTCCTTACTGAATGCCGCAAAGAACTTCACGCCTACTTTACATGTTAATAACCTACTGACTCTGTGATATCATACGCCGGAGGTTCAGCATCACGGAGACCGAAGCTTGTAAATGGATACGATCCTGAGATAGTTCATTTTCCGTCCTCATAACCTACCTTTTCCATCTTAATGTTA